CATGTGAGTTAATGAAGGAGAACACCCTGAGACGAGCCCGGGACCTGGGAGTGGACCTAAGCAACGTACTTACCCCGGATTGTGGACAGGCTGGCAGTTTCGCGCCAATTCAGTGTGATGGTCTGAGGTGTTTCTGCGTCGACGAACACACTGGCTATGAGTTACCCGGCACACGAGCCCGTAGCATCGAGATGGTCAACTGCTCAGGTAAGTCTCCTAATTGATTATAATTAATAACTATACAGGTTTAGAAAGGTAATTAAACACAAATATTAATAGAATCCTAGAATTTCAATAAATTAACCATTGAATGTGAGTATTTTATCGACATTTAAGTTTATATAAAAAACACAAGTAGGTTACCGGATAATTTTTATTTTGGTTGGGTTATGATGGTCAAATTTAGTGTCTTAATTTACATCTGATAGAAAGGGTTTCACATATACATTTTCCGATACCAGTGTTATGCGTCTCTTGGTCTTACTCACACACACACACACACACACACACACACACACACACACACACACAAACACACACACACACACACATAAAGTTAAAGGCTTGGATGAACACTTATACTAGACAAACACACCATCACGTAAGCTTGAGTGAACGCACAAACAAACACACACACGTTTCAACACACACACACACACACATACGCACGAACACACACACACACACTCTCGGGGCATATTTTATTTATCTAACTTCTCTTCTATTCACTTATTGTTTTATCGCATTTCGTGTACTTGGAGTGAGGCACTTCAAAATCACTTCGCTACACTTCTTTCTCGACAAATTTGTTCTTAAAAATTTACATATTTTGCATGGTTCATGGGATCACCTGAAGATTAGACACCCCAGCTTATTTTACTTGGATATTATGCACTACAGCTTATTTTACATGAAGGTTAGGTACCCCAGCTTACTTCACTTGATGATTAGACACCCCAACTTATTTCACCTGATGATTAAACACCCTAACGGTAAGCTAATTTGACCTAAAATAACTCAAATATGACGTAACCAAATCTAACATAATATAACCCGATCTACGGTGTCAAATTATCAGGTGAAATAAACTGAAGAGCCTAATCATCAGGTAAAATAAGCTGTTGTACCTGATCATCAGGTAAAATAAGCTGAGGTGCCTTATCATCAGGTAAAATAAGCTGTTGTCCTAATCAAGTAAAATAAGCCGTTGTGACTAATCATCAGGTGAAATAAGCCGTTGTGTCTAATCAACCAGGTAAATTAAGCTGGGATGCCTCAGGTGCTCAAATTTCTATTCTCTATGTTATTCAGTATCACAGTAACATCAAACCTGCAGGCTGGTAGGTAGTGAAATCTTATGGGTGATATCCGTAGAGTTTTTGACGGCTCTATGGTGACGGTCTCGTAGTGAAATCTTATGGGTGATGTCCGTAGAGTTTTGACGACGTTGTGGTGACGGTCTCGTAGTGAAATCTTATGGGTGACGTCCGTAGAGTTTTTGACGACTTTGTGGTGACAGTCTCGTAGTGAAATCTTATGGGTGATATCCGTAGAGTTTTTGACGACTTTGTGGTGACAGTCTCGTCTTGTGTGAAACTCATGGGTGATGTCCGCAGAGGCTTTTGGATGACGTTGTGGTGACGGTCTCGTAGTGAAATCTTATGGGTGACGTCCGTAGAGTTTTTGACGACTTTGTGGTGACAGTCTCGTAGTGAAATCTTATGGGTGATATCCGTAGAGTTTTTGACGACTTTGTGGTGACAGTCTCGTGGCCGCTACAGGGATATTTATTTTATCTTGAATTGTAGACTGAGAGTTAACCCTTGACTTACGCTCAGCAACACAATTCAATTTGTTGGGTAAGTTAGGTTTGGTTTGGTTTTGTTTGGTTTGGTTTTGTTTGGTTTGGTTAGGTTAGGTCTCTATCGTTATCCCAACCCTCTCCCTCTCCTCTTCCCACTTCACCTCCCATTCTCCCTCCCCCACTTCACCTCCCTCCTCTCCCTCCTACTTCACCTCCCATTCTCCTTCCCCCACTTCACCTCCCACTCTCCCTCCCACTTCACCTCCCACTGCCAGCGCCCAGGAATGAATTATTAATCGTAGTCACATGGCCACCAGCGCTAGTTTTCCTACCCCCTCTGATCGTCTCCTCAAGGGAATGTCGCTCTTCCTGCCCGCTTCCTGAGATTATGCGGCGGTCTTGGATAATCTTAGAGCCTTAGGTAATCTCAGGACCTGTCTTAAGTAACCCTGGGACCTTTGGTAATCTCAGGGCTGGCCTTAAATAACCCTGGGACCTTTGGTAATCTCAGGGCCGGCCTTTGGTAATTTCAGAGTCTTAGAAAATCTTATATCTTTAGATAAACCCAGGGCCATCAATATGAAGATATGTCCAGTTTATTCTCCCTTAGGATACTCAAATATGCTGGGCTGAAGTAGACGATATACTCAGATATACTGGATCATTCGACCTTAGTATATCCATATATGCTGGATGAGAGTAAACTGTGAGCTACATATGTGTAGTATATCAAGTAATTGGTATATCCACATAACAGAGAGAGAGAGAGAGAGAGAGAGAGAGAGAGAGAGAGAGAGATTCATAATGTAATGGTAAAATAAAAATCTATAATAAGACATTAATACCTTAATCTCTACGTTAATATATCGACCATAAATCCGGCTCCTGTAACGGGGATTACTGGCTACAAATAAAGGATTTCCAACACTCTCCCGGTCACCTCTCCACCCCGAAGAAGAGGAGAGTGATGTGAGAGGTGGAGGAGGAGAAGAGTGGTGTAGAGAAAGAGGAGGGGGAGAAGAGAGGTGACGTGGGAGAGAGAAAGCGTTGTGAAAGGTCAAAATTATGAGGCTGTGTGAGAGAGGAATTGAGAGTAGAGAGAAAGAAGAGGAAGGGGTGGAAGAGGAGAATGAGTCTGTGTAAGAGAATGAAGGAGGAAGAGAGAAAGTGATACAGAAAAAGGTAAGGAGAAATTTAGAGAGATAGAGAGAAAAATGTGGTGACGAGACAGACAGACAGACAGACAGACAAAGAAAAGGAAACGATGAGAGAGACAGAGAGAGAGAGAGAGAGAGGGGCGACGAGATGGAAAAAGAGAGAACAAAAGTGAGACACAAAAGTTTTATGAGGAAACAGCCGGAGGAATGGTTGAAGGAGAGAGAGAGAGAGAGAGAGAGAGAGAGAGAGAGATAAAATGTATGTAGGAAGGGAGAAATGAGGAGAACGAAAGGAGAAGCAGCAAGTGAGAGGCAGTGAGGCGGAAGAAAGACACATACACACAGACACATACAGACAGACAGACACTGTGTACACCCCCGTCCCACCACACTGCCCTCAAGCTCTTATGGTGTAGGGAGAATACTTTGTGAACGTTGAGAAGTGGGGAGGTACAGGGGGGAGGGGTAGTGGAGGGGAGGGGCAGTGGAGGAGGGGTAGTGGAGGGGAGGGGGCAGTGGAGGGGAGGTAGGAAGGAGGGGGTAGGGGAACTTGAGCTTTGAAAGGATGAGAAAGCGGAGGGTGGGGGTGGAGGAGAAGTGGGGGAAAAAGGAGAGGACTGAGAAGGGAAGGAGGATGGGGCAGGAGAAGAGAAAGCGGAGGTAGGGGTAGAGGGAAGGAAGGCAGGAGGAGGAAGGGAAAAGAGAGACAGGTGGGAGAAAAGAGGGAAGAGGGGAGGGATTGTATGATGGTAGGGACAGGTGTTTCAAATACTATATTTATATTAAGATCAACCTCACCTTCCCTCACCTCCTTCTACACCACACTATGTGGGCGAGGTATCATGGGGGTTGTGTTGTGTTGTGTCGGCGACCTGTGGTGTAATGGTCAGCATGCCCGTCTCGCAAGCGAGCGGACCAGGTTCGACCCCCGGGCAGGGTGAAAGTATGGGCAAGTTTCTTTACGTCATTTGTCTTGTCTACCCAGCAGTAATTGGGAACCTAGATGTTAATCGATATGCGGATCGTGTTCCGGGGTAATGGTTAGCCAGTGCAGTTGGCGAGTTGTCCGGTCTTCTCGGACTATTCCCTGACACTATGTCATGCAGCTCGTTAACTTAGTGTGTGGTTGTTGTCGCGGCGACAGCTTCTACATAACAATTCACGAAGACAACCAATATGTTGTGTTGTCCTTTGTTGCCTGGTGTTACGTTACGTTTCGTTATGCACAAAAAAATGAATGCTACGAATTTAATGATCAGCCTTACGTTCATATATATATTTCTTTCCATTAAAAAAATTTCCTTTCCTGCAAATTTATTTTCTTTATCGCGTTCTTATTCACGTATAATTATTTAAACACAAGCGCCTATAATGACTCTGGTGGCGACAAGCGGAAATGCAAATGACGGAAGATTGTCCACCTTCTTGAGAATTAAAATAAGAAGTTGAGTGGGGCGAAGGAGAGAATTTGGCACCGTTAGGTTTAGAAAAGGTCTCTTGAGATTTAGAAAAGGTCTTATGGATTTAGAATCAGTCTCGTCTAATTGGAAAAAGGTCTAGATTTTGAAATATGTCTCTTAATTTTAGAAAATGTCTTGGAAAACGTCTCTTAGATTATTATAGAATAGATCTAACATATTAAAAAAATCCCAAAGGTTTAAAGAAGTTCTCATGTGCGTAAACGTTTCATATGATCAAAGGTCTCTCAATTTCTGAAAAAGGTCTCTTTATGTTTAGCGTTAGAAACCATAGGAGTTAATAAAAAAAAAAGTCTCAGATTTAGATTTAGAGACCGTGTGACCAGAAGCATCCAGCACAAAGAGAAAGTGAAGGGCAGTGTCCAACCTCTTAGTCAACGCGACATGAACACACCTTTGATTTCCCGGGGGAAGCTCAAATTTGTTTTTAATTATTACTCTTTCTTAGTCCCGTAGTGAAGCTGGTGAGGGGAGGAGGGAGGGTGGGAGGGAGGGTAGGGACAGGAAAGGGTTGGAGAAGGAGGAGGAGGAAGACAAAGACTGAAGGAGGGTATGGGGGAG